AAAAAAATAATCCAGGCACGGAAAAAAAAATAATGCAGGAGAGAGTAATTTAGATAAAATTGGCCAAGAGTTCTTAATTATTTAGGCTTATTGATAAGTACATCAGATGCCCAGAAACTATATCACTACATTTCTATTTGTTTTAAATTATCTATAATAAAAGACCTTTCAAGGGGAAAAAAGAGGAGAAAATATCCCAAAATGAAATATATTGTCTCAGAATTTTGGTAGCTAAATCTACATGAAATTTAGGAATTCCAAATATTTATTCTGAGTCTCTCTTTTAGGAAAGATTCTCCTCTTTTTTTTTCTACTTTCTAAAGTTTTGCTCCCATCAGAAGCCAAAGATCCTTCTGGATTCAAGATAAAAATGCCTTTACCACAAAGCTTGGGGGAGAAAGAAGATCCTCTTTAGGAGACATTGTTGTTGTTGTATACCATAGAGTTGGAACAGACCCATAGGTGACCTGGCAGGTTTTCAGAGGCAGTTAATCACATGGGAAGAGATTGCCCATCTTTGTCCTGAAGAGCACCTCTAGTCCTCAAACCACGTGCCTTCGGGATTGCAGCCCAGCTTCTTTCTGCTAGGCCACCAGAGTTTCATAGGAGACATACACCATGCTAAATTCTGCTGCTTATAGCGTCGCTGCGAGCAGTAACAGTACAAGCACGGCATTACCTTCAGAAACACAAGCTAACCAGGGTTATTAAAACTCTCCCTTTTGAGCTACAAGTAATTCTGTTCTTCTTTCTTATGAGTTCACATGTCACGAATACCAGAGATCATGTTGCCAGATTTTGTAATTTGGAGATGACTAATTCCAGTATGACAAATACAGGGCTGCTGGTGGTCATGAAGGGGGACAGGAGGAGTGAGGAGGAACTAGACTCGGTCGTCCCTCCAATAATGACATGGCAACTTTAACAGGAAGGGAGTAAAGTGGGGTCTCCCTGAGGTCTCCACAGGCCGTCATCTCAGTGAGAGCCACAGTCAGCTGGTTGGCCCTCATCTAGCTCTCCTGTGTTATAGAGATTTTTAGGTAAAACTTCCTGGGTGGATGCAAGTTACTAACCTCCTAGGACATTCTTTCCACGGAGGGACTACGTGCCCTCTACGCTATTTCACCACAGACGAATAGGACCTACTTCAAGTCTTGCAAATAGCTGTTGTGTGGGTAATCCTATGAAGTTATTCAGGTGTAGACATCAACAGCGACTGAGGGGTCGACCAACTGGATAATATACACAGACGTTCGCCTTCAGGCTGTTGGTACTTTCTATATCCTCCTACTCAGGAAATGCAAAACTGTGTCAACGTAGAAGGTTTTCTAGCCTTTTTTTAAAACCTGGAACACCCAAGCCAACCACACTTCTCAAAAAGGAAAACATCTGAAATGCAACCGGCTTGGATCAGCCTGAGCTTGAGGAAGCTAGTTCATTTTTTATTTTCTCATAAGAAAAAAAAGTTAATATTACCCATTTCACAGCATTGCCAAAGACCCAAAAGCATTAAACCCACCATTGTCAAGTCCATTTCAACTCAGAGCAATGCTCCAGAGTGTTTTCTGAGGTTATAAATCGTTAAGGAAGATTGTCTTCTAAGGAGTGGCTGGTAGATTTGAACTGCCAACCTCTCTGTTAGTGATTTGTACATTACAAACTACACTACCATGGCATAAAACAAAACAAGCCACCTAGCTTTAGCCTGAGTCACTGAATAAGTAGTTAGCTACTTTTGAATTGCCTGCATGGAAACTGTTGTTATTGTTGTTGCTGTTGTGTGTGTTGAGTTGCCTGCAACTCATAGCGACCCTACATACACCAGCTCTGAAGCCTGCCCTGTCCTGAGCCAGTCTCACTGATTCCAACACACCTATCCTCATTGCCCCAAGTACTGTGTCAATCCATCTCATTTGAGGTCTTCCTCTCCTGTGCTGTCCTTCCACACTTCCAAATATGATGTCCTTCTCCAATGGATTGGTCCCTCCTGGTCACGTGCCCAAAGTATGTGATATGGAGCTTCAAAATCCTAGCTTCCAAGGAGAAACTTGGTTTCACCCTCTCCAAGACAGACCTATTTGTTTTCTTGGTGGTTCAAGGTATGTTCAAGACTCTTTTCCAGCACCACAACTCAAAGGCATTAATTCTTCTGTCATGCTTAGTCATTGCCCAGCTCTCTGATACATAATAGCAAGTAATTGTGAAGACCATGGCCTGGATCAGGCAATTAGGTATCCCTAAAATTAAAAGTGGGAGCCCTCGTGGTATAGTCTGAAGGGAGTTGTGCTGCTAACTCGAATACAGCACCTCTCTGGAGGTTCAAACCCACCAGTGATTCGAGAGAGAAAAATGGGCAGTTTCCTCCCATGCAAGTTATTGCTTCTGAAGCCACAACAATGATGGAGAAAGAACATTAAAAGTGAGAGAGATGGGCAGAGAGATAAAGACTGACCCTACTCAAACCTGAACAATTTCTAGAAAACCTTTCTACATGAGGTGGTGTGAAGAATGTGGGCTGTTTTTTTGCTGTTTTAATCAAAGTTTACACTTTCAATAAGTAAAAATCCAGGACACTGTGGAATTGACATAGCTTAGAAATTGGGTAAAGGTTAGTGACTCGGTGTTACTGGCAATAAATGACAAAAGCTATGGAATGAGTCCCAACAATAAGAAATGTTACTCTACTTCAAAGGCCAAAGTTGGGACCTTTCTGGGTAATGTGGGCCAGTAGCTCCCCTGATGGTTTTCATTGCCTCCCCAGTGGGAGGAGGAATTTGTAGGCCATAGAATGGGCTCCTGTAGGATAGCTCTCAAAAAAAAAGCAACAAAATCACTGAATTAGCACTAAATCATGGAACAGACGAAACCACCGTGGCCTCCACAGATGCCTTATTTATTTTTGTGCTCCAACTCCATTTCTCTTCCTCATAACAGCCATTCTCCTGCCTCTATTTCCTTCTTTCTTTCCCCCAAATCACAGCCCCATTGCTGCGTGGCCACTTTATGACCTTCCGTAGCTCCCAAGGAGCAGCCTACCCAGTTTCAAATCCAATTTCAATCATAGTTCAGTCCAAAAGTATTTGTGGGGGTAGGGGGGTGGGGGGAATTAACTCTGTGGTTAGGACCAAGCTGTCCAATGTACCACTGCAAAGAGTGAGCCTGGAGTTCCCCAAAACATAGTTCCTCATGCTTTCCTCTGAGTTGGCTGAAGACAGCAGAGAAGTGAAAATACAAACTCCCAGCACTACCCTCAATCTAGCTAGATGTGACACCCTCCCCCCACTCCCCCATCCCCCAGTGCTCAAAGAGTTGGCCGCCAAGTCCTCCTTCCCTCAGAGTTTCTGCTCCAAGCTCCACTCACCCAGCTCTTCCATGGTCACACACCCAGGATGCTCTGGTCCCACAGGTTAAGAGAAAGTGCTCTAGCATGTGCTGAAGGAGAGGCCCTCAAAGGAACTGAATGAGACAACGCGAGGCAGTCTCTATAACCCTTTTTGGTTCCTGTATTTGCTTAGCACTTCCTCTCTTTTGATTTGGTGGATTTCTTTCTTTCTTTTTTTTTTTTTTTTTTTTAGTAGGTCAGACTTCAAATGAAACAGAACTGACACAGAAAGGCAGGTTGTAGGAGATGAATTCTGTCAATTGAAGATGGGCAAAAAAAGATCAAGACTTAATATTATTGAAATAAAATCGAATACTTCACTACAAGCCAAGACTCCTCCCAACAAGCTACAGGCTCTATCACCAGAACCACTAGAACTTATGGTTGTGGTTGTTATGTGCCATCGAGTCACCTGCGACTCACAGCGACCCTATGTACAACAGCCCTAAACCCTGCTCTATCTTGTGCCAACCTTATTGTCTCTGACACACCTAACCATTAGCCCAGTCACTGAATCAATCCATCTTATCGAAGGTCTTCCTTCCTCTCCTGCACTGTCTCTCCATCTCTCCACCCTCCCAAGTATGGCATCCCTCTTCAAGAACTGGTCCCTCCTTGCAGCATGTCCAAAGGATGTCAGACGAATCCTTGCCTCCAAGGAGCAGCCTGGTTTTATGCTCTCTAGGATGAACCTGTTTGTTTTTCTGGCATTCTATGGTATATTCAATACTTTTATCCAGCACAACAGCAATCCTGCATCAAGTTTCTGAGGCTGTAAATCTTTAGAGAAGGAGACTGTCCGTATTTCTCTGAAGGAGCATCTGGTCAATTTGAACCACTAACTATGTCACCAGAGCTCTTTGAGTAAACATTAGCTTTGCCATATAAGGATTTATAATATATTTCATACAGTAACCGTAAGTTCTGTGGCTAACTCTGAGAAGAATGGGAATCCCATAACACTTGATCATGCCAGGAAGCAGTCATCAGAATGGAGTAGGGAAATGCTGCATGATTCAAAATTGGCAAGGGTGTGTGCCTGGGATGTGTCCTGTCTCCATACCTTTTCAATCTATGTGCAGAACAGAATATCTGGTAGGCTGGGCTGTATGAGGAGAAATATGGCATCAGGATTGGAGGAAGACTCATCAACAATCTGCATTATGCAGATGACACAACCGTGCTTGCTGAAACTGAGGAGGACCAGAAGCACTTGCTGTGGAAGGTCAGGGACTGTAGCCTTCAATATGGATTAAGGCTCAATATCAAGAGAACAAAGATTCTCAACACTGGGCCTACTGGCAGCATCATTATAGATGGTGAAGACATTTAGATTGTTAACAGCTTCATTTTGCTTGGCTCTACAATCAACTCTCTTGGTACCAGCAGCCAGGAAATTAAAAGATGAATTGCACTGAGAAAGCCTGATGTCAGAGACCTCTCCAAAGTACTGAAGAGCAACGATGTCAATCTAGAGACTAAGATGTGCCTGCTCCAGGCCAAGGCCTTTGCAATTACTTGCTATGCATCAGGATGCTGGACATTGAATAAAGATGACGGAAGAAGGATTGATGCTTCTGACTTGTGGTTTTGGAAAAGAGTGCTGAATATCCAATGGACGGCCAGAAGAACAAACAGATATGTCTTGGAGAAGGTGCAGGCAGACTGCTTCTCGGAGGCACAGATGATACAGCATTGCTTCACATATCTGATCATGTTGTTAGGAGAGGCTATTTCTTGGAGAGGGACATTATGCTTGGGAAGGTGGAGGGGCAGCAAAGGAGAGAAAGAGCCTTGCCCAGGTGGGTTGACACAGTGACTACAGTAAGAGATTGTAAGGATGTCACAGGACAGAAGAGTGTTCAGAGTGGTTGTTCATAGGTTCTCTATGAGTTGTACTTGACTCAAGAACGTCTAACAACATAGTAGAGTAAAAACAAAACAAAATCCTATGTGATAAAACACCATGGAGACTGCAGCAATGGACTCAAATATACAAACTATTGTAAGGACAGCACAGGATCTAGCAACGAATCACAGCCGCTCTGTGACATCGAGATTGTGAAGGAATTGGAAGGTTGAAGACCCCAGGTGCTAAACTAATGACACGTCAGTTACGCAAATTCTTGCTTAGAGTGACTTACAGCAGCTTCTCCGAGAAGTGATACATACTGAGGCTAACACCTTCATCTTTTTTTACCACTGAGATTTTATCTATCTAGAATGAAAGAAAACATTTTCCCAATGGTCAGAAAGGGCAGAATATAAAGTATGATAATGAGGGTCTTGTGAAAGAAATATTATCCTCATTTTGACCAGAGCTAAAAGAGGTTAATAACTTGCTTAACATGTTGTTGTTGTTATGTGCCGTCGAGTTGCCTGCGACTCATAGCGACCCTATGTACAACAGCCCTAAACTCCGCTCTGTCCTGTGCCAATCGCACTGTCTCTGACACTCCCAGCCCAATTAT